TTGGAGAGGTGGGAGAATGCGGAGATCTCTTCGTCCCGGGAATAGCCCATTGCAGCGGGGGCACCGGGCGTTCGGCAGTGCCACGGCGTGGGGCTTTTTCACTTTGAAAATACCTTCCGAGCCTTCACCTACATAAGGAAATCCATGATTTATTTAACTTGGGAGATTTCTTTTGTGAAACCAGTTCTTGGAAAGCTAATTATCACTTAATAGTCTTTATTTTACTTTATTACAAATAAGAAATATTTCATTTCTCTATTAGTTATCACTTCTAATATTGTAATATATATGTAATATGTAATATTCTAATATGCTAATAGAATATGTAATAGTCTAATATGCTTCCCCACTTGTAATCATGTATTTGAAGAACATTTTTAAGGGGTTAATCTCCTTTTTCTTTGTAAATATCAGATTAGGTTTATTGTTTTCCTTTGGCTGAGCTCCCTGGATAACTTTTTTTAACATGCTGATTCCCAGGGGAAACATCCATCTGCAATATTCCCTTTTAAGGCTGTTTTGTTTGTTTGTTCTGTTTCAGGAAGAAAAAAGTAAAAAAATGTCAGCCAATTTAAAATACCTTTCCTTGGGCATCCTGGTTTTTCAGACCACAAGTTTAGTCTTGACCATGCGTTATTCTCGGACGCTGAAAGAAGAAGGACCTCGTTACTTGTCCTCTACTGCAGTAGTTATTGCTGAACTTCTGAAGATTTTGGCCTGTGTTCTGTTGGTCTACAGAGACAGCAGTATGTGTCAAATTTTGCACCAAGTAATTTTCCTAATCAATATGCTGTATTGTAATGGCAACTGCAAAGCAGCCATGTGAGTACAGGCGTACAACAAAGCTTTTCCCTTCTCGTTTAAGAAATAGTCTTGCAAAGACACTAATCGTACTTCGCTCCTCAACGCACGATGCAAGATACTGTATATTTGCCGAAGAGAGTTCTCTTTAAGGAATGTGGGTACTGGGGAGCGCAAGAATAAATTTTCTAACAGCTTGAAGCTTGTGTTTGCTCAGGCATTTTAAGAAATTCGTATGCAGAAGGAGGAAAAAAATGAAAAGCTTTAAGGGTGTCCAAAGCATGAATGATAATTTAGAAGCCTATACTAAACAGCAGATGCAGAAAGGTGGAAGCAATTTCATTACTACAGGAAAAAGCACAGTTTTAAGCTCAAAAAAAAGTATATTCAGATTTACTCAAGTTCTTATTTTGTACATTTGATACTGAGTTTATCTGGTTCATTGACATATGCATTTGATCTTCAACAGCTTAAAAATGTCATTGTATATGCATAAATATTGATGACTGTAGGCTTCTAAATGTGCACTTTTTGGGTGGTACTCTATAATGTATCGTCTTCAAATATTGATACGGTTTCAATAAGTTTTACTTAAAGTATTGTGAATAATTGTTCTAGTTCTGATATTCCAGGCTACAGGAAGATGCTTTGCAGCCTTTTTTTCTTACTTACTTACTTTCATGAGGCTCATGAAAGTCAAACAAACGTAAATCGTATTTTGAGGTCCTGATAGCAGTGATAGCTATAAAAAGGGGGCAACGATCAGAACAGAACATTGCGCGCTCCCTCTCTTTTTTTTCCTCTGTCCTTTTAGTGAATGTCTTTTTCTTTTGTTGTTTCTTTGGGTAGAGTGCAATTTACGGACTCTGAACAGAGTGCTACATGATGAAATCCTTAATAAACCCATGGAAACTCTTAAACTTGCTATTCCTTCAGGAATTTATACTCTTCAGAATAACTTGCTGTATGTAGCATTGTCAAACCTAGATGCAGCCACGTACCAGGTATTGTACATTTGGATTTCTCTGTAAGTTTAAAAAAAAAACAAAACCAAACCAACATGAATTACGTGGTAGTAACTGTTTCTGGGTTCTTCTAGGTTACATACCAACTGAAAATTCTCACCACAGCATTGTTTTCTGTGTCCATGTTGAGCAAGAAACTGGGCGTATACCAGTGGCTTTCATTAGTAATATTGATGACAGGCGTGGCACTTGTGCAGGTAAATGTGAACAGGTGGTTTGTGTTTGTTTAATGTGTTTGCGCAAGGAACGTGGATTTCTGTACTGATCGTACAGCTTTCTGATTCCGCCAGCCGCACACGAGCACCAGAGTGTGGTCAGGAGCTACGGATCGCAGCTGGCCAGGGCTAGAGGACACCAGAAATGGCTCAAAGGCAGGAGACGGCACCTCTCTTGCGTCCCCGTGCTCTGCTGTAGAAGGTGACAGGGCCTGTGGAGCGACCCGCAAATAACAGCGATCGCAGGGTTTGCTAGCACGCTGCTGCAGGCACGGGGGATTCGCAGAGCTTCCCCGCCAGCGCAGCTCTGCCGCCCACCTTGTGATGCGGTTCCAGCACGGCAAATTTACTTCAACTTTTTCAAGAGGCCAGCTTGGCCTCTGTTCTAAATAGTGCAGGTACAGGCGTTTGTAGTTTTCAGAGGGCAGGATCGTGGGATAAAAGACTATTCTAAGAATTTTTGGCAAATTTTAGCATATCCTAGAAATTTTTATTTTAAAACTTAAGGACTTGAAGAAAATTCTGAGGATTAAATTTTATAGCATTTTCAAATTCCGTAATTCAAAATGGGAACAAAGCATTCTGATTATCATTAAGAGACTCTTCAGTATGCTTTTGTCTATGGCATTGCGTTTTATTCTGTTAGCGTTAGATACATTGCAGGATTTAGCTTCATAAATGTCAGCTTCTTGTACTCGTCTGCATAATCACACGCAAAAGAGAATTCATCCCATCTTAAAGACAGCTGGTGTAAGGGGGTTTCTAACTGTGCTTATATTTGTAAGGTAACTAACTGGCGGTGGCAAAAGTTGGTGACTGTGATAAGTCGTGCTGGGATTCAGAAACAGTTCCAGCTTATAAAATATAAATCCTCGACCTGTTTAAATCGATGGGTATTCTCCCAGTTGAGGCGCAACTTTACTCCGTATGAATATGTAGAAAGAAAAATGATGACTTTCAGTCTTTTAAAACTATTTATGGTGCAAATAATAAACTTTACAAGCATGTGATTGTCTGTATTTAGTGACTGTTACTGCTGCTAGAAAACAAACGTGCATTTTGTAGGTGCTCGTGACTTGATTTTGTGTAACTTTTGGGGTAACTGTTTTTACGTGCAGTGGCCTTCGGACTCTCAAGCAACAGCTGCTAAGGAACATTCAGCGGGATCTCAGTTCGTAGGCCTGATCGCAGTTCTCATAGCATGCTTTTCCAGCGGATTTGCTGGGGTTTATTTTGAGAAAATTTTAAAGGAAACTAAGCAGTCTGTGTGGATCAGAAACATTCAGCTTGGTAAGTTTAATTTTCGTCACCTCTTAGAGATCCTGCATTCTGAAGAATTAAGATAAATGTGCAGAATATATATAAAAATACAAAATATTACCAACGTTTTAGTATTCTGCATAAAGACACTTCAAAAACCAAGAGTATAATCTCTGCTAGATAGAATTCCAGCAGTTGCTTTCTGATCTCAACCTGGTTCTTGATTGAACTTGCTTATAGAGTGTCTGTAAGTTTGTACAGAATGTCAATTGAATTTGTATTTAAAATTTTCTGAAGAATGTTATCTTATGCAGTATTCTGTATCTTCTATGTTTAAAAATGATTCTTTTGCACTAATCCATAAGATCTGATAAATACAGATAGTATTCCTTTTTCCTTTTTTTTTTTTACATTTTTTTTTTTAGAGAACATAGGAATAGTAAAACAAAGTATGTTTCTAAATCAATGTTCTGAGGTGTTTTAAAATTTTTTTTCTTTTGTGTCTGGGCAGGCAGTTTTTATAGGTTGGCACTTTTAATACAAAAAAACTGCTTTGTGAATGAAGTTGAGGTAATGAATTACTATTATTTCAATACAAAGGTCAGTTTGCTTTAGTTGTCGCTATAATCCCAGGAGAGAGGCATATGCAAAAGCCAGTTCATCTTGACTATTTTAATGCCCTTACCTCTTGTGCACCTATCGGTAAGAGGATACCTTCTATTTCCAAAGTAGTTCTTGGTCTTCTAGAACCGAGATATTAACGGCGACAGAGTTGATCCATTTTCCTGGATGAGTTTTCCCTCACCTCAAAGCAATCTTGTCCCGTTTATAGGGTTGGAAATGTGACACCAGCAATATCTTTTTGTTGCTGTTTTGCAACAGAAACAAAACTTACTGTTGGAGTTGCCCTTCTTTCTCTAATGGAAACCCTCTGGTCTTCACCTCTAAGCAGTAATTATTTATTGCATATTTGGATAAATGCTTTCAGCAGAATTTGAACTTTTCAGCATCTTAGAATAGACTCTTGATCAAATCTACAGTACTGTCGGATTAAGTTATGAGAATGATTTAGTGGATCAGGGCTGTGTACTGAGTCTGGTAGAATGTCATGGAGTACCATAAAAACAGGAGATGGTGTGGGGTTTTGTAGTTAGCTAAACTGCTATGGTCAAAAAAAGTCTGAATACAAACAGTATTTTTTTCCTTTCTTTTCCTGTTGCTGTGTTTTAATTGTAAATGGTTTCAGTTAAAAATGCAGAACTGCAGTTTCATTATATGTTAATATTTTCACACGTCCATAATGTTTTGAAACTTGAGGATAGGGAAGGGGATCAAAAACTCTACTTACTATCTGCTAGTATTTATTGAAGTTGTGTATATTAAAACCAAGTTTTCTTGAACAGGGTGTAGGGGATACCTCAGGAAAGGTTATGTTAGGGAATTTTGGAGGCAGAGAAGGGTGGGTAGCTGGGGCTTGGTCCAGGATTTAAGGTAAGATTTGGAGCTACGATATAAAAGCTGTTGCCAAGGAAAGCTGATTATTACTACTCTCAATTTCCACGCTAAAAGCGCTTTGGTGGGCAGCAATGCAGATATCTGAAACAATTTCCAATTAAACGTTCATAATGGTTGAAAAATCAATGACCTTTTCTAAAGCATTCTTCAGATTTTTCTACAGTGCACAGAAGCATGTATGAAAACAAATGAGTTCAGTAGTTTGATAGTTGGCCTGGTCATATATTGAATGTTCCGGTAATTGCTTTATGAAAACAATGAGATCAGAACAGACTGCATCTAAACGCAGACTGTTCAAGGTAATGAATAACTAGGACTGATATATGAAGACATAAATGTGTGTGATAAGAGTGAGAATTGAATCACCTGATTTTTTTAAATTTTTTGTCAGTGAGCTTAATTTGCCTCAATACAAAATTCAGTTGAATATGCTTCCTATTAAGGTTGTTTTCAGTTCAAAAATGAAATTAATTTCGTCATGTTTCATAGAGAGTTTCCTGATACAGGTTTTGGAAAATATTTAAAACATGAAATCCTAATTTCAAAAATACGTTAGTGTATCCTTTCTGCATGTGCAAGATAGTTGCCTGCTTAAGATGTTGTATCGTTCAGGAGCAAGACAGTCGTAACCAAGAGGTTTGAAATAGAGCTTTTAAAACAGAAACAACAAAAGCCATAAACCAACCTGGTTTTCACTTTCATATCCATAGAGAATTATTAGAACTGTAGAAAAAATTGGAAAATATATTTGAATAATTGTTGAAAAATTCAGTTTTTCATGCATACCAGTATCATATTGGGGACATATGAATAGTTGATTTTATTTATTTATTTTAGCAGATCAATTGGCAAATAGAAGTAATTGGTTTAATCTGAACGAAACCTAAATTTTTAATTACATCTACAAAAATAAATCTTTCTTGTCGAACAGAAGGTTTTATTTTGTTCAAAACAATCCTGCCCTTTTCAGACGCAAAGCAATGCGACGAAAATAGAGGTCAGCTTTTCACAGAAAAGGAATGGAAAAAATATTCCCCCTTTCCTGCTCGGGACTAGAGCCTGCATCGGTCACAGAGGGGGTGCTCACGTTGCTTCCATGCCTGAGGGGATTAGGAAAAGTTTTCCGTCTGATAGAACAACACTATACTCACCAAATTATAAACTTTTTAATCTCATCTCGATTTCTTCTTTTGACATTAACTCTCTACTAATAAACAACATTCCTTGTGTTTGAGACCAGTTCAGAAGAATCCCGCTTCCAAGATCCTCGTCCGAATTGGCACACTGATAAGTCCTGCTCTTGCTATGTCAGTCACCATTTCCTCCACTGAAAGTTTTCCCTGTTTTTCTCTCCAGGTGACAGTGAAGGTGACCTCAGCCTTCAGTCATGACTAGTTTCAGGAAAACTGAAATTGTGTTTAAGTGAATTTTGCTATATGCCATAAACAAAAATCACCCCATTCCAGTAGAAAGCAATGGAAGATAAGTATGTAACAATGTCCTAATGGAAACAGAGAAAACTTGTTATGAGTGTGGAAAATAGCTTTTTGAAAGAGAATATCCGTCTGAACACTGATTGCATTTGAATGTGATGGTATTGCAAGTAGCAGTCCTATTTTAAAATTGGATATATGTGAGCAGTCCTTGAGGACAAGGAACCTGTTTGCATGATTTTCACCTGAAGCTTTTAAATCAATCTTGTCCTTTCAGGATTTTTTGGTAGCATATTTGGACTGATGGGTGTATACATTTATGATGGAGAGCAACTATCAAAGAATGGATTTTTTCAAGGATACAATAAACTTACTTGGATAGTTGTTGTTTTACAGGTGAGATGCCTTGTATCACACGTTTCTGTGAAGGTGCTTGGGATTTACTCTTCTATAAATGATGGGGGAAACTGATGGGTGTCATTGAAGCTACTGAGAATTCTATAGTCAGTAGTTTGATCTATGACTATTAGAATAAACCTCTAAATAAAAACCTGGAAAACACATAGCAAGTATATGACTAAGTACTGTGCAACATAAAAGCACATTAGCATTATTTCTTTTGCAATGTTTAAAAAAAATATATATATATGCCCATCTTCCTGTGGCTAAAAATACATGGTACGAGCATTTTCACTAGTTGATCAACAATTTCTTTAATGGGGAAAGAACAACTCTTCCAATATTTATCTTCAACAGTGCGTATCCATAACATAAAATAAATGCAATGCTTCTAATCATAGGCAAAAGCTTTTCCTAAAGTAAGTGCATGTTATTAAAATAGGTGCTCTCAGTGGAATTATCAGGTTGCAAATCCAAACCTCAATATTTTTCAGGCACTTGGAGGGCTGGTGATCGCTGCCGTTATAAAATATGCAGACAACATTTTAAAGGGATTTGCAACTTCTCTCTCTATTATACTGTCAACATTGATCTCCTATTTCTGGCTGCAAGATTTTGTCCCTACAAGGTAAGAATTATTTTCCATGTATGCTGAAAAAAAAAAAAAAGAAAACTTAATGTTTACCTGATATAACTGCAAAAATAAATAAAAAAACAGTCCAAGCCACACTTTTTAGAATGTTTAGATGCAACTTGCACGTAGAAGTTTAGTTTCGTTGCATGCCATCACTAACACTATGTTTA